TCCCGCCCCGTCCCGCAGAGTATCCCCCCCTTCCTCAGCCCCGCCGCGCTGCCGTCTCCGCCGGTTTCATATCCCCCCTGCCTTCCCCCGCCCCGAGCACGTCGGAGCGGGGCGCAGGGACGGCCGCCGCCAGGCGCCTCCTGCCTGACAGGGGGGCGGCGAGGCGGCACCGGCGGCAGCTCGCCCCGTTGCCCTCCCTCGGGCCGCCCCCACCCCGGGGAAGCTCCCCTCAGCCGCCCGCCCCCGAGGGTCTCCCCGCGGCCTCCTCAGAGGGGCGGCCCGCGGCCTTCCCGCCCTCGGGGGGCCGCCCTCTGCTCCTTCCCTGTGCCCAGCAGGGTAACGGGGTCTTTGTTAGAGACCGGGAGTCACAAAATCAAAGTTTGCAGTTCGTGATTAGCCCCTACTATCAAATCAAGAAAAATTACCTCCTTTTTTTTGCCAAAAGAGGGCACCTCTCTCTCTCCAGGTCCGGTCGCTGACCGCCTTCTGGAGGAGTCGGTCCATCTCCACCTTCCCCACACCGGGCATCTGAAGGGACATGGTGTGTGGAGGAGCCAGGCAGCTCTCCAACTGCAACGTGGTGAAAAACTGCCTTGTTTTTAAGGTCAAAGAGCTCTTGATCTAAACCTTCTGGAAAAATCAGTGTTAGTATAGAAAGAAAAAGCCCAACTCAACAATATCTGGCAATTATAGTAAGGGCGACAAAGATGGTGAGGGGTCTGGAGAATAAGTCTTATGAGGAGAGGCTGAGGGAACTGGGGTTATTCAGCCTGGAGAAGAGGAGGCTGAGGGGAGACCTTATTGCTCTCTACAACTACCTGAAAGGAGGGTGTAGAGAGGTGGGGGTTGGTCTCTTTTCTCAAGTCACAGGCGACAGGACAAAAGGAAATGGCCTCAAGTTGCACCAGGGTAGGTTCAGGCTGGATATTAGGAAAAATTTTTTCACTGAAAGGGTTATCAGCCATTGGAATGGGCTGCCCAGGGAGGTGGTTGAGGCACCATCCCTGGAGGTGTTCAAAAGACGGGTTGATGTAGTGCTGGGAGGTATGGTTTAGTGATGATGCTCCTTGTTTGTTGTGTGGGTGTCTATTTTTGTCAGTTAGGTTGACGGTTGGACAAGATGATCTTTAAGGTCCCTTCCAACCTAGAAGATTCTGTGATTCTGTAATTACTACAGTGCTGAATTCTACTTTAAAATGATTGGGAGCTGGAACTCAGCTCTGTAAAACATATTAGTATATAGACATTCTTTCCAGTGAAAGATAACCTACATATATTTTATTTTAGAAAGCGGGTTAATGAAGTATTACTACAACATAGAATCATAGAACTGTCTAAGTTGGAAGGGACCTTAAAGATCATCTAGTCCAACCATCAACCTAACTCTGACAAAAAAATAAATAAGAAGTAAGAAATTAAAAAAAACAAAACAAAACACCACACTAAACCATATTCTTGAGGACCATGGCAACCCGTCTTTTGAACACCTCCAGGGATGGTGCCTCAACCACTTCCCTGGGCAGCCCATTCCAATGCTGGATAACCCTTTCCGTGAAGAAATTTTTCCTAATATCCAATCTAAACCTTCCCTGGCATCTACTTCTTCCCCCTCATTTTCTATTAATTATGTTGCAATTAAAATGCAATGGGAACTAATGGCAAGAACTTATTAATTATAAATCTCCCTTAACAGTAGATAATCGTATATTTAGTGTAAGGGTCTCACAGCCCGTGGTGTATTTGCATTTTGGGTATTGGTGGGGGGACTGCGTGGGATTCTGTGCCGGTGTTGGATCACCAGCCGTGCGGCAACGAGCCTCCATGGCACAGAGAGAAGCCAAGTCCTTTTCCCACATTACAGAGTAAACTAACAGCTGAGGATGAATGGGACCCTCACGCTTCCTCTTTGTTTTTTCCTATTTGTCGTTATTCATAGGTGATCCGCAAAGCATCACGTTGCAGCATTTTATTCTCTCTTCATCAGTCTTCGGCATAGACTGACATATGGCAATTAAAATTAGCAGCAATGCTGGAAAACGTTAAACAGCCAAAAGAAGATGAAGACAAGACAGCAGATAACCAGACTCTGTGCCAAGGGCTAAAGGTAACCACATGCTTTGATAAAAAATGCTGGTGTGTCTTTAAATTTATTGATAGTTCTTATTAGAGAAAGAAAAGCCCCTCTCTTTCCCTGCTTTGCCAGCCAGAAGGAAGGTGGATCTCAATCAGCACTCTCCCAGCCAACAGAGGCAGCAGAACTCCATCCATCAAAGTCATTCTTGGGTGGCTTGGATTTGCACGGTGGGAACAGGAGCCTTTAACTGCTTGCACCCATGGCATCAATGTGATTGCCCAAAGGCATGTGAATAACAATCATATTGTCCAAAGAATTATCCAAAGAAAATTATTCAAAGATACTGAATTCCTTCTATTATTTGCATATTATTTCATTAGTGACAAAATAGGGGGTTTTGTGTTGGTCTTGGGCATGGAGGGACGTTTTGAAACACGATGAAGTGTATTACTAGGCATCAAAAATTGCAAGTTCCCTTAATTTGTCAAATATGATCTTCACCAAACTAAAACACTATAAAGGATGTGCAGTGATTTAATCTCCTGAAAAGTGGATTTTAAAGGACATGCTCCCTATTAAGGGATTGAGCAAGCGTGAGTTGATATTGACTGGAATGCTGAAGTAGAAAATTAGATGGCTGACAAGTATCACAGGTGTGGCACCTTTTATTGTTTTTAGCTCCTTTTCTTCCTTTACTTCCCCGGTTTTAATTTAAGCACTTATTCTAAAAAATACCTCCCTGTAAAAATGGTCACTATTCCCATTGCTCCTGGGTAGGAAGCTGGAAAAACATGAGTGTGGGGAGATCACGAACAGTGTAATGGTGCTGTCACCCATTCAGAGCATTTAAGGAAGGCTGAATGAAGAAATGCAATGTGCTCACTGGCATAAGGAAAAAAAAGTTGTCTTTTAGTTTCAGGTAAAAATAATAAGTGGTTAAACGTGTTGCTGACGTTTAAATTAACCCCAAATCAAAACCCACCACTAACCCATGTCCCTCAGCACCATGTCTACACGTCTTTTAAATACCTCCAGGGATGGTGGTGACTCCACCACTTCCCTGGGCAGCCTGTTCCAATGTTTAATAACCCTTTCAGTGTAAACATTTTTCCTAATATCCAATATAAACCTCCCCTGGTGCAACTTGAGGCTGTTTCCTCTTGTCCTGTCACTTGTCACTGGGGAGAAGAGACCAACACCGCCCCCCGGCTACAGCCTCCTTTCAGGTAGAGATCATTAAGGTCTCCCCTCAGCCTCCTTTTCTCCAGGCTGAACAACCCTAGCTCCCTCAGCCTCTCCTCATAAGACTTCTTGTCCAGACCCTTCACCAGTTCCGTTGATGGACACCGTCCAGCACCTCAATGTCCTTCCTGTAGAGAAGGGCCCAAAACTGGACCCAGTACTCAAGGTGAAGCCTCGCAAGTGCCAAGTACAAGGGGATGATCACTTCCCTGGTCCTGCTGGCCACACTCTTCCTGATACAGGCCAGGATGCTGTGGCCACCTTGGCCACACTGCCGGCTCATATTTAGCCAGAATACTTCTTGCTTTTATCTAGTGTACTCATCCCTTACAAAGCAGAAGATGCTTAGCAGTATAGATGACTAAACCTGTCGGTATAAAAGGGATTTTCAGGAATGAGAAATGTTAAAACTTTTTCCGAATCTTTCACACCAGTTACTAAAATGTGGCTGGTAAAGATAATTGTATTCCAGTCTTCTTGGGGAAGACAATATTTCTTTTATACTTAGAGAATACCCCATAGGGGTATTTTGATTTGAAGATATTTGAAAATTACATTTTATAGTTGGGGAAGTGAGGGAGAGGTAGACTGGGGTTAAAAGTCCCTACCAGGGAATCCTGAAGAGCTGTCCTCAAGAACAACTTCCACTTTTGGAAGCCACTTTGCATTTATTGGAATGCTGTTTATCTTCCAGCATTTCAAAGGGTAAGAAAAAAACGGTGGGTTTGACAGCTTAGTTTTCCAAATGGCGTAACAAACCATCAGGATTTAGAGCAAAGTTTTCTGATTGTTAATGCTTATTCACACCGGTCCTAGAGCTGCGCGCAGTAGTGGTTTGTACGTGAAAGGAGAAAAAGAGACTCAGGAATCAACCTGTATAAAGTCAGATTGGAGTCAGAATAAGAGTTAGTAAAAGAATGCAGGAGCCCCCTCACTGTTCTCCATTCTAAGCACTGGGTAATACTTTCAACTTTTTACTCTGATTAACACAACAGGGTCACAATACCTTGAAAGCACTGCAGCAACGTTTAGAAAACAGTAACTGGGAATTAGTTTGAGACAAAATTTTGATAAATGGAGAAGCAGAAAAGCTAATATATTGCAACAAGGAAAAAAAACCCAAGGCTATAAAGACTGTAGATTAACCCAGGAACTTATTTCTCCAGATTTACATGGCTCCTTTCAGCCTCCAGTTCTTTTTGCTGTTTCTTTCTTTCACCCTTCAGGATGCCAGTTGCAGTTGTTCTGATTAAAAGAAACTCAGAGGTAAAAGAGAGGGAAAAGATGGTGTGACTGCTGTCAGTGTTCAGCTAAAATTCTGACATCCTGGGTCCCAGTGATTAATTCCATAGCTTAAAACATCAGAAACTTTATTGATATCAATAGAAATACCTACAGAATTAGTTAGCATCTAGCATTGTAAAGAACATTACATCTCCATTCTAACTTTTTAAAAACACACACACTGGAGAGCCAGAGGATGTGACAGTGACTATCTATATATTACATTAATTTACTGATCTCAAGATTTAGTTCTTGGCATTGAGTGCTATTAATTTTCATTTGCCTGGAATTTTGTGTGCAGTTATTTCTGTCGCTTTGTTCATAGTTTACTGGAAGACAGGCTGGACTATCAAAACCATAGAAAGCCTCAGCAGAAGAAAATACAAGGAATCAACGTATCACTAATTGCTGAAAAAAAGCACATTGACGCAGTTAGGAAAGCCACCAAACAAGACAGCTGTAAGCTTGTTGTGTGTTTGCACACCTGGCATGGCACAGAGTGCATGGTACCTTTCTGACTTTTTGCCTTCTCCGATGCTGGATTTAGTCTCAAGTGCAGTGAGATGACTCTAGATACATCACTATCATGGTCTTGAACAAACCCAAATCAGATCATTGCTTTACCGTGTGACTCCAGTAAGAAACTGCACAATGTTATGCTGCCCTAGGCAGAAAATTTAATCTTTTCAGAATCACAAGCAACCACTTATTTTCCTTCCTTGTCCCAGAAGGGAGAAAACTGGTGTTATCCCATTATGTTCATGGCTACAGCAATGCAGTCCCATACCGAAGGGCCGTTGTGAAACTGAATTTCCCAATTTCTCCACCTTGATCTCTTCTTGTGCAGGGCACAGAGAAGCTCTGCAGAGTTTGCTTCCCATCCACACTGTGACCTCTGGTGGGTGGGTAATCACACCACTATGGGACCTTGTGCAGCTGGGCTTTGGGAGTCAGTTGAGCTTTCACAAAACATAACCAATCCCATTAGCCATTAAAATTGGCTCAGGCTTGATCAAATTGTTTTAGCCATTTGGGCACTGAAAAACCACACTCCTTCCTTCTTTACAACCTAATTAGCAGCACGGCAGAAACGTATGCATGTTATTTGCACCAGCATCTATTGACACGCATTAACAATAAACTTACATTGTTGGTGTAATGGAAAGCACTTAGTTTTGAAGTGGCACCAGAACAGATCCATTCTCAGCAGTAGTGAGAGAAATTAATCAGCAGTTTGTTGAGTAAATAAGATGATGTGCTGAATAACAATTACTTCTACAGACAATGCTATCACCTTTTTTTTTTTGGTAATTTGGATTACCTTTTAAAAATAAAAGCAGAAGCACACAAGTTTTAGACCTAAATATCATTTTAACCAGAGTGAAATCCAGTTTGATATACCAGACGTTGTGCTGTGGAAGTTGTTTTCTCCTTCTCTTTATTCATAGTTTCACTTTCCAAATGTTAGGGCCCCTACTTTTCCTCAGACAGAATTCCAGAATCCACCGATCTTCTAGATAAAAATTATTATACACAGGTCAACTACTTAACAGAATTAAGGGAAATGGGAGTGAAAAAAGGAAAATTGTGAAAAAGAGACATGAAAAAAGTTATCAATAAATTGGAATTTCAAAATACACTGCATAAGAGGAATTTTAAAATTTTATTCTGACAGCCGACGTTCCTTTGGGTCACAGCTCTGCGTTGGAAAGATCTCCTGAGTTTTCCCAGCAGAACTGATCACTTGGTGCATTTGTTCCCACCAATGGGCTTTGGAATGGTCTTCTGACAGCGAAGAACTTCAGTTAAATCATACCAAGTTCCTGGAAACCAAAAAATTCCAGCTGGAATTTAACTGGGAATGCCTCAGAGCCAGTCAAACCACTCTATGCCAAAAATAGAAAGACTCACACATGTAGCATTAATAAATTGTAACATTGTGCCTTTGTGAAGAATAACTGTCTATTAATTGTTATTCAATGTTTTAGAAGTCTTAAAGCTTTCCTCATCTAAGACATCTTTCTACTTCAAACTTCTCTAATTGTCACAGAGTGAAAATAATTAAAATGAGATCATACTCTCTTAAAAAGAAAGTGTAACAATGGCTACGAAATTATGTGTTTTCAGAGCACACTGCTCCATTTTCATGTTACTTTCCCTGATCCCTGTCTTTTCAGGCTCATCAGGGATAAAATTGAACGGTTTCTAGTGTAGTATAAAGATTCTGTGCACAGAACAGAGGGAAGGTGGAAAGCAGAAAGCCATCTTCCCAGCTGTTCTGTGGCTGTTCCGGCAGCACTCGGACCCCTGCTTGGCTTCATATTACTTGCAAAGTTCTCAAAACCAGATAAAGCACTAAAAATTATTAGTTGACCTCTAAACTGCCAATACGAGCTAAGAAATGAGCAACTTAAATAGCTAAGTTCCTGGTACTTGCTGTGAGGAGTGCATGTAGAATTCCTTTGTGTTACAGGAAAGGCTATTCCGCTATCTAGCTCCATTTACCCTTGGAATAAGAGACTGTGCAATAACTTCCCCAACAATAATTGAAAGTCATAACCTTTTTAACTTGAAAGACCATCTCGTAACTGCACCACAGACCTTGAATATAACTGGAGAGGGTAGAACATCAGGGAAAGGGTAGAAAAGATGGAAAAGGAGCAGTACTTCGTAGTGTTTCTCTGTGGATTGGTCTCTGACAGAGTAGGAAAATGGAAGGAAATTTCTCCTTGCTAACCAGATGCTGCAATGATGTCCTAAACACACCCCTTTTCTGTGGTAATTTTTCAATGAAATAAGGATAGACGTTAGAAAACCATTGGGAAGTACCTCCAGAGCATCTTGGGGAATGACACTGCAAAATCCATGAAGTAGCCCTGGAAGAGCTACCCAGTCAGATTATTTGGGATCCAGAGGGAATTATGAATTCTAGCATCACAGAATCACAGAATAATCTGGGGGAAGAGACCTTTAAAGGTCATCTAGGCCACCCCCCCTGCAATGAGCAGGGATATCTTCAACTAGATGAGGTTGCTCAGAGCCCCATCCAGCCTGACCTTGAACATTTGCAGGGATGGGGCATCCACTACCTCTTTGGGCAAGACTTCCATGCTGCAGGACCAGTTGTTCATACATCCCACAGCACTGTTTAAGACTACTCTTCTGCACCCAAGGCCATCCACTTCAATTTAGTGTTTTGGATGGTACCTGGTGTCTGCTAGTGGGGGGAAAGAGAGGATTAGGAATAACTGATGAGAAGCCAAATACCACAAAAAGCTAAACCGGCAAATATTAGAGCTTGCATTAGAGATGATAATTGCAAAACAAAGGTCCAATCCAATTTGAAATGTGCACACTTAATAGAAGATGGAACAAAGGATATATAAACAAGATTTACTTTATTTTTATTTAAATTTTACATACAGTAACTTTTATTGCAGCCACTGAGGCCAACTAGTAAGTGTCACAGAACAGTAAATTTTAAATTCACTACTAAAAATGCAGAATCTCTGAGAACAGTCTACAGTTGTTTTAATCTTGAAAAGCATATTAAGGACCACAGTAAAGAAACAGCATATAAAAAGGTATTTAAAAATGCAATGTTACAAGTCCATTTATAATAACATGGTTACAGATTCTCCAAGAATCTCCCCATTATCAACATTTTAATGTTTCTTTCAACAACAAGTTAGCCATTATAACAGACGTTACAGTTTAAAAAACAGAAATAAACAGTCTTGCAAGTAGCATGGCAGGCTCAGTGTCAGGGTGAAACATCACACGATACTGGAAACGTTCACGATGGAACCCACATATTTCCATGTGTATCAGGGGCATTTGTGTAAGGAATATTCCAAATCCACGGTTGATCTGTAAACCAAAACATGTTCATGATAAAATCAGTTAAGTGTAAAATTTTGATGTTCTTCCTCCCCTCCCTTTGGAGGAAGAGGATGGTCAATATTTCTACTGGTTTTCACATAACCTCATGTACAATTTCAGTTTACTGGAAATTTTTATTCAGCTATTGTGTAAAACAGTGAGATTTAGAGTTTTCGAAAGGCTTCCCTTTCCCCCCAAATATTATTTTAAATATAATTATAACAACCCAACATACTTCTCCACCAGCTGTAAAATAATTGTATTTCAGACAATATACAAGAAAAGTTATGCAGCCAAATTTTGTTTCGGCCCACAGGCAGCAGGTTTTGTGCTGCATATCTCTTAACCCAATGGAATTGAAGTGCTGTAACATTTTTTCATGGGGATAGTAAGAATTCAGTATCTACGAATGACCCTGCGTGAACTCTGAAATGTTCAAATTCCCACCTCGCTTCTTCAAACAATGCATTTTTCGATGAGCAAGAGGCTCGCAGCAGACAGTTCCCTCCCTCCACTTCTCAGAAGGCAGAAGCTATTCCCACTCTTGGGAAGGAGAAGAGGCAACACAGCAGGAGCCAACTGCTCCGCAACCTGCTCCGGGCTCTTCCTCCTACCACATAGACGTTGTGGCAAAGCAGCTGGTCTGTGAAGCCAAGCTATTGTTCTACTTCTCTCACGCTACTCCTACTGAAATGCACAGAAAATGCCTTCAATCCTTTCCGTGATTTTTCTCATCTAAGAAGTTTATATAAATCTAACTGCTCCTTTTCTTCATCTAAAAAATGAGCCCTGAAGGATAGACAATGACATTAATCTGTACGATGCATAAGCTGAATTGTACCGAGGACGACGGACTAGTTAATTTATCAAAAACGAGCTACTCTTCTACATGATATACTATGTATAATTGCTAAAGATGATTTGCTACATGCTTATCGATTGAAATTTTAGATAAGTTATTGATTATGATTACTGTGGCCCAATTTTAAGTTTACAGTATCCAGTGCCAGCTCTCACAGTCGGTGATAATTACTGTAGCAAGAAGAGGAGACTAAGAAAGTGACAGAAGCAGTAACGAAGGGATGTATAAATTCCACAACAGCACACTGACAAGTACCACACCAGTTAAACATGGGGCAGGGAGAGTGTTCCTACCAAGGACTCATTATTACTTGCTACTAGACTGCATTTAATTCTAGTGCTGTACTTCCATATGCCACAGTGAAACATATCCCACCTAGGCATATGTTTTACAAAAGTCTCTGCTCATGCTACTAAGAGGGTAACAGGAAAATGTTTTAAATTACAAAATTAAATCTGCTTGACTTGAAAAAGACTTTACCTGTAGTTTATGAAGACTGATAGGAATGTTACAAGTCACAGGAACGTGAGCAGAAAAAGAACAGCCTGTGCAACAAATGCCATCTTTCATGTTATTATAAGACAATAAAAGCAAACATCCATATCTTCCCCTGATTTAAAATCATGATATAGCTTCTAAGTGGAAGAAGCAGTTAGCTAGTTTTTGGTTACAGTGGATAGGTGCACAAAAAAAAATATAAAAGGCATAGGAAACTGGAAGAAACTATAGCACTTAATCATAGTGCACTGCCAAAAAACGTCTCTAGGTTTCTGGGTCAACTGCAGGATATCTAGACTTTGAGTGATCTCTTAAAAAACCCCACAAAACCAAACAGTAGCAGCATGATTTCCCTAAGCTTCTTTTATCAGTCTTCTGCTTGAAAGCTGTGTGTACCTTTCATATTTTAGGTAAATACCTTGTCACATAATAAACATTATAGTTATAAGAATGGGTACCGAATAAAGCAAGTATTGGAGAAAGCACTGAGGATTTCAAGCATCTGTTCAGATTTGATCTCTGACCTCTATCTATGACATCAGAATAAATCCAGTCCCACTCAAGCACTGGAACCTGTCACTTGGAGTACATTATGGAGTGTGGACCTATCTATCTTTGCTACCATCTGCAATTACTTAGTTTAGTTCAGCAAAACATACAAAGGAAGACTTACATGTACAGAAATAACTTGTCACCCTTTAAAGCACTCTGACAGGCTACAATACCTAATTTAGTTCTTTTTTATTGTGACTACCTTAATAAAATTTTCTGAAGGTAGCTATCAACGTACTTGAAACTTTGTTCTATTAATGGGATGCTCTTGGTTTAATAAAACACCTGATAATATTTTACTAAGCCATGTGTAAACTATTGCTGAAAAAATATAATTCAGCTATTTTTAAAATGTCAGACCCATTTTAAAATTAATTTATCTCTTAATAGGAGCTATAGCAGCAGGAGAAAGACAATGACTGTGTATAAATACTGTCTGACCATACCTGCTTATTTTTGCACACTAAAATGACTGCCAGACTTTTGAAAGTTAAATCCTTTGATCTTCTGGAAAAGAAAAATGTTAACTGTTCCCTATTTATAGCCCCACTATATATATTTTTAAAGTGTGCTCAATGTACCCACCTTCCACAGCTTCCAAGTTCAGTTCTTCATTTCTGATACCCTCATTTTGCCTCAACTGCACCTTTTGGGAAGTAGTGTTGTGTAGTGACCCAGTACCACTGCCTCCCCCTTGCTTCCTTTTAAAAGCAGCGGAACTCAAGCACTAGAGTTAGCACACCTCAAAATGAACAGGGCTGTTCCTACCCCACCGCTACTTAAAGATGATCTGAAATCTCAGACAAAGCACTATTTCAGTTATGCTCAGGCAGACTTTTGAAGATTCTCTCATCACATTTCATTTAAATGAACAGACAGGCCCTGGAGAACAAAACAAATTTTTTCAAGTAGACCTGATTAATCACTCAAAGAATCCTCCACATTTTGAGATAATGTTACAGAATATGAAAACATGAGCTGACAATGGCACAAGGTTGTTCTGCAGATTTTAACAATAGTATTTTACAAATGCAGTATATTGTGTAGGTCAAAAACATGCCGGCAAGCCACCTCAAACTTCATGTTCTCATAAGTATCACAGATGGCAGTACAGTATGTACAGCCAAAACCAGGATAGTTTTTGAATTACAGTAACATGAA